TTTTTTTTTTTTTTTTTTTTATATTTCTGCCGCTTCTGCTGCCGCCGCCAGTGCTGCCTCCGTCGCCGCGTCTGTGCCCGCGCCCCGGAGATGTCCTTCCCCCAGCTGGGCTACCCGCAGTATCTCAGCGCCAGCCAGGCGGTGTACGGGAGCGATCGGCCCGGGGTCCTGGCCGCCGCCGCCGCAGCTGCCGCCGCCGCCGCTGCCGCTTCGGGCCGGCCCGCGGGCGCCGAGCTGGGCAGCGGCTCGGCCGCTGTCACCTCGGTTCTGGGCATGTACGCCAGCCCCTACAGCGCCCCCAACTACAGCGCCTTCCTGCCCTACACCGCAGACCTCGGCCTCTTCTCCCAGATGGTGAGTGAGCACCGCGCTGCCCCGGGCCTGTGGGGCGATGGGGCCGAGGCAACTGGGGGATCCAGGGGCGGGCGGAGGTCGCGGAGCCAAGCGCAGGGGGCGGTGGGGCGACTGCGGGGGCGGCTCACGCCCGGCCCGGGGTCCGCCGCGGAGAGGGGAGCGTGTCTGTCGGTGGGTCTGCGAGGGAGAGAGGGGCCGGGGGCGGCAGGCCCCGTCTGCACGAGAAGTCCCCATCCTGCCCATCGTTTTCCAGCCCGGCAAAACTCCTCCGAGTTTTTCTTGGCAGTGAAAGGGCTGTCCAGGGCTCCTGCCTCCGTGTTGTCTGCTTTCCCTAGCAACTCGGCTTCTTTTTTTTTTTTTTTTTCCTTACGTGTTGTTAGTGTTGTTGTTGTTGACGGGTGATATTGTCGGTCCTGCTGTTTCAATGGGCTTTCCAGCGCGCTCCTCTTTCCGCCTGGCACTTTTCTTTGCCGCCGAGCAATAAACAGGTTCCGTCCGAAAGGCCAAAGTATCGGTACCTGTGGCGCCAGTTTATTTCAAGGCATTTTCCTTAAGCATTAAAAATGGGCCGTTCTGTTATCTGAACTTTTCATACTCTGATTATGGCAAGTATCATAGATGGGATTTGCATTAAGCAGAGGAGGATATCTACATCCCATTATACGCATCAGAGCAGAAAGGCATATTGGTGTTAACTTTTAAACAAATTGAAATCACCCAGACTGTCCTCTGGCTTCTTCCCCCCTTTTCTTTAGAACGTAATAGTTAGAAAGTGAAGCATATTTTTTTAAAGTAACTGTTCTTATCTGCGGTGTCGTTTAAACGTTTTCGTTGCTGGTATCTCCAAAATTCTCGGCGGTGGTACGCATATGGTCCATTTCATTTTCTAAATGTCCCTCTATTCTCTGCCCCACCGACACATAAAAGTATAAATATTTATAATTGGGTGAATGTAAGGCATAACTTATAAGGGGTTTTAATACATATATGTAGGCAAGGAGGTAGAAACGCTGTTGAACAAGGTTCAGCATCTGAGAACAGATCATATTGCTGCTGCAAACATTTCCTACGAAGTCACTTTTACAGCGTGTATGTCCTACTTTTTTTTTCCTTTTCTTTCTTTTTTTTTTTTTTTGTTTTTCCTCTTTAACCTTGATTTTGGAAATGCAGTAAAATTTGAGACAGAAGCAATGAGTGATTTACAAGTGGCTTCTTCAAAAGAGTTCCCAACAGAGATTACACAAAAATATCATTTCGGCAACAATAACAAAAGACAGCGAAATGAAGGGAGTGCAGAAAGCCCACGCTGTAACACATCAAAAAAAAACTACATCGGACTACTCCCTATGTATGAGCGATGTCTCTGAATTGAACATAAATGACCGTTTTTAACTGTTTGATAAAGTTAAATTAGTTTCTTCGCAGACATTATTGAAGAGATCCATTTTTAAGGCTGATATAAATTACGACAGAGTAATACTAAGAATGTATTTCTAAACTACGGGGGAAAAAAAAAGCGACATTGCAATAGAAGCAATGAAGAAAGAAAACTGCTTGAAATGTTAGCTATTTTGGAACAGTTCCCATTCCTACTAGCAAAGTACCCTGGTATTTTATTGCAGTGATTTACCGTGATAGTGATATTTTGAAATAAACTCTGAATTTCTGAAAAGTTTTAAACTAAGAGCTAAAATATTAGGTTAATATCTGGACAATTTGTGGTAATAATGAGGCCTAATGAGGTTGCTAGAAAGATAAAATGTTATTTACCAAAACACCTGATGGGATAATTTGACTTGCTGTGTTTTACTACTGATGATAAAAAGAATATTGATTGCAAATAAATCACCGTCTCTAAATGCTTGTAAACAATTTGCGTTTGCTCTGGCCAGATCAAAGTAAAACTTATGAGATAAAGTGTCTGCATATCCATATTCTACAATGCGTGGATCACTTTTCATTCCAGAGTTTAAAGGCTCTTCTAACAGTTAGAAGTTAATGTTTTACTCCAGAATCTTGGTGTATGAGCTGGGGAGTGGGGGTGGTGGTGTTGGCTTGTGTGTGGAAAATCTTTTATGTTATTATTGTCTTTGTGCTGAAGTTGTGCATTCGTGTCCCCGGTCTCGTCTCACTAGGGGCAAAAATAAAGAATGCTCTGCATGCATTCGTAACATCCTCCTGGATACTTTGCAGCTAAATGCGACGCTGCGCGCGGGCATTAGTTTATAAGTGCGGTGTAGCACCAGTTTTATCTGCCTGATGATTTCAAGGGCATAGTAAATTGTCTTGGCGAAGCTAAGTTGCTGCATTTCCATCATTTGATTTGATTTGGTTTGCGGAGAAAATATGCACGATATCTGTCAGAACCCCGCTTGGTACCTCTCTTTCCTTTCCCTGCAAGAAAGGGGAATCATTTGGAAACACTCTCTGACCTAAACGTGAAGAGCCTGGAGCGGGGAGGGCCGAATTTGGCTGTGAAGACCTTTTGCACTGCTGAAAGGCGTATTCCGGCTCCCGGAGTAGCCTATTCAGGTCTGTTAGAGACGCTAACGAGATAATTGATGTGCTTTTTCCTCTCCGCTTGTCTGAATGTGTTGCAGGGCTCCCAGTACGAGCTGAAAGATAATCCGGGTGTCCACCCTGCTACTTTTGCTGCCCACACTGCCCCCGGCTATTATCCCTATGGACAGTTCCAATACGGGGACCCGGGACGGCCCAAAAATGCCACTCGGGAGAGCACCAGCACCCTCAAGGCCTGGCTCAACGAGCACCGCAAGAACCCCTACCCCACCAAGGGCGAGAAGATCATGCTGGCCATCATCACCAAGATGACCCTCACCCAGGTGTCCACCTGGTTCGCCAACGCCCGCCGGCGGCTCAAGAAGGAGAACAAGGTGACCTGGGGCTCCAGAAGTAAGGACCAAGAAGATGCAAACCTCTTCGGGAGTGACAATGAGGGGGACCCTGAGAAGAACGAAGATGATGAGGAAATTGACCTGGAGAGCATAGATATAGATAAAATCGACGAGAACGATGGGGAGCAGAGCAACGAGGAAGAGGAGGAGAAGCCCGAGCTCCTGAGACAAAGCAGCGAAGAGGAGCACTTGGAAAAGGAAAAGGATTTGGCACTGTCAGGGGCTGAAGGGCTGAAACCCAAAGATGCACTGGCTATAGTAAAGGAAGCCTCTGACAATAGCACCAGAATCATCAGTCCCGGGGGACCAAACAATTTACAGATGCCATCTCACAGCAAACCCAAGATTTGGTCTTTGGCAGAGACAGCAACCAGTCCTGATGGTGCCCTGAAATCTTCTCCTCCTCCGCCTCCTCCCCCACAGGTTAACCACACTTCTGCTCAGATCCAGCACCCTGCTTTTCTCCCCAGCCATGGACTCTACACATGCCAGATTGGCAAATTTCACAACTGGACAAATGGGGCATTCCTCACTCAGAGTTCCCTGCTGAACGTAAGGTCTTTTTTGGGAGTAAATCACCACCACGCTGCTCATCATAATCACCACCTCCAGGCCCAGCAACCATCTTCTGTTTTAACAGCAACCCTGGGAGCCCTAAGCAGTGAAAAACCTTCAGAGAGGACCAGTCCCAAACACATAGGTAATTAATGCATCAAGCATTCACCTCTCTCTCCACCCCCAACACATGTATATGAACTTCTTGAGGAATGGTGTCACATTTAGCCCTGGTGTAACTGATTGCTTTTAACTGAGTTACAGTTTACGCTAGTGTTGATTTCTGGCCCCCCTCCCAAGCATATTGATTGCATATATTAAGCCCATTTTATATGGCCTATTATATTCCCAACCTATACACCCATCAAGTAAGATGAGAGTGCAGAAATACCATTGTGAAATGTACAGTTTTGAGTTTTGCTTTCCTTCCTTCCTTTCTTCATGAACCTCATGACCCAATAATTTCAATGACATTAAAAATGTGTCAAGAAAAGCTTGCAGACTCCTTAAATACTGAAAGTAGGAAATAGTGCTGCACACATGCACACACATATCTATGTGTGTCTCAACAGGAGAGTGAGAGGGAAGCGTGTTCTCTGCACACTGTCCAGATTCTTATTGTTGTTATTCTAAAATGGTTCTCTTGTTTTGTTTTGCTTTTTCTTTTTTCTTTTTTTTTTTTCTCCCTGTCTCATTCTAGAAAGAGAAAATGTACCAAGAACTGACTCCCCACCCCAGCCGCTAAAATCGCCCTTCCAGCCCGTCCGTGACAAGTGAGTTTGTTTGTTTTCTCTGCAGGAATGTTACTTATGTGAAACAGAGTGTTTGAATAATAAAGACTAATTATAACACCTAATCATCACCATAATAATACATACAGACAATAAGAACAGCACAGGAATGGCTGTAATCTTTTCAAATTTAAACTAAATTGCAATTGTACATAGCCAGACTGTAACTTTTCTAAAACTTAACAGACCTCAAAGGTCCGGTGTTAATTACACCAGTCAGAATGATTTTTTGCAATTATCTAATACTAAGATGCTATAGCAATAGATGGGCAACTAAAAAAAAAAAAAATTCTGTAAGATTGTTACGTCTTTTTTTTTTTTTTTTTTTCCCCTCCCTTCCCCCTGCAGCTCTTTGGCTCAGCAAGAGGGAACACCGAGAATTTTAACAGCTCTCCCTTCTGCTTGATTAAATGATTTGGTGAAAAATATTACAGAGACTGGTATTAAGGACAGAGAAAAAATAAAAGGAAACGGTGTAAACGACTCCCATCAATCTCTTTTTGCAATAAGGTGGTGCAAATCCATAAAAGCGATTACACAAATCTGTAGATGGATCCCCTTTCTCATTGTACCATTTCAGATCGTGTTATTCTAACCATTCTTGGATTATTTGTTTGGTAAATGTTTCCCATGTGTTTGTGTTTTTTTTTTTCCTCTGTATATAGAGTGATTTCAGATTGTAAATAACACGTCAGCAAAACTTGTCTAAATCATATATTTTTGTCTAATAAACTAAATGAAATTACGAACTCTCTTCAGGTATGTATTCTGTTGCTGCAGATCTTATACATATATTACAAATCTATTCAAACATTTATAAATTGTTTTCTAAAAAGTTAAGTCTTCTTGCCTTTGGGTAACTGAAACTTAAAATAACAAACCCAAGTTTTTAGTGACTCTTATAGCTATTTTACTGAACACAATCTGCGAGCTTCCTTTTTCATGCACGCAAATTTAAGAAGATGAGTGAAGCTGGTTCTTGACTAGTAAAATTAAAGTTAATATTTTCAGTTGTGATGAATGAGATGTGTTGTGTAGTATCCATTTTCTGGACATAAGTAGACTTGACTCTTACTTATGTTACAAAATACATTCTTATAAGTGAAAGGGACAAGTTTTCCCACAGTTCCCTAGTTTGCTGTCCAAACTGGTTCCTACATTGGATCACGAGCTTTACCGCTTTGGTATACATTCCAGCTGAAGACGAAAAAAACATAGTTTAGGAAGAAGAATGATTTGTAATGATTTGCGCTTTAAATAAACACAGAGGAAATGTGACTGTAAAAGATGTTTTCCTGTGAGACTAAACACAATCTTAGCATTAAAAAAAAAAAAAAAAAAAAAAAAAAAAAAAAAGGCAGCTCTTGCACATCTCAAAAGAAAGTTCTGAGATTTCGATCTATTGGTTAAAAATAGAGACAGGATCTATCGTTTTACAAAGGCAATGATCTTCCAAAGACGATCCGTTAAAATGTGTAATATTTTGAGTGTTTACTTCTTTTTTTTTCTCCTAAATGAGAACATTAAATGAGCATTGAGGTGCTAATAAGATACCAGATGGTTGTTGATGGTGGAAAATGGAAAGAAGCAGCTGGGAAAGTCATTAAGAAATAATGCGGTGACGCTCTATCCAAACTGAACCAACCTCAAACCAAGACTTGTCGGAAGCAAGATGAGATTTTCAAATAAAATATTAATAAAATTCTTGTGAGAGATTAGAATATTGATCTCAATCAAGGAGCAGTCTCGGTAAACTATGGCTTAGAGATTTGTTGGCAAAGTGGTGTAGGCAGTGAACTCATACTTTTTTTCGTGCTTTCTTTTTCATGGAGCAGAGAAACAGGTCAAGCAAAATAGATTTTGTGAGGGATATCTGAAGGAGAGACTCTGAAAAGAGACTCATTTTGACATCCTGCCGTTCCTAGCATACCATGAATTAGTTTGGTTTTTGGCCTTTAGTTGTTTGGGTTTTGTATTCCCTTTTCCTAAATCACAGACAGTCTCGCGGTAGTAATTGCTGGCAACTGTTCCAACAAAAGAGAGTATTACACTTTTTAATAATTTAGCCTTCAGGGAGAGGGAAGTCGTATTTAAAAATAAAAATTTAAAAAAAACAAAAAAGAAAGAAAAAAAAAAGAAAAGAGAAAGTCTTCACGCCTGTAGAGCCAAACAGTGTGTCAGGTTAGTTTTGGTGTAAACCTGCTGCAATTGCTGTCTCTCTCATATCAATTCAGATGAAATCGCCGCAGTCCCGCACTGGTTGCCACTCGTCCCCGGTCAGGGCCAGTTCTCCAGTTCCTCTCGGGAGGTGCGGCCAGCCCCGAGCAACCTGGCAGTCCGGACTGCCTCCACCACCGGGGAAAGACCTCTGCCCCGCTCCACCGCCCATTTGGCTGCCACGAACCGGCTCTGCTCCTCCAAGGTGGAGACGGCACCTAAAAGGAGCGCAGAGATGCTCTGCGAGGCCGAGCGAGAGCGGCGGTGTCGAACTAGCCTGGGGGGGAGCGGAGTAAGGACCACGGGGTGGTATAGGAGCGTCAGTCCCTTGGACTGTAGGGAGCAGAGGAGCTTAAGCGTGTGAGCCTCGTCTATGTGGGGACAGTCCCGCTCCCTGACCGCCCCTGCCGAGCCGAGCGGTTCCGAGCGGTGCCAAGCCGAGCCCAGCGGGACGCAGGCCGGGCTTTGGGCGGGCTCGTAGCGCCCTCTGTGGGCTGCGGGCGGCGTCGTCCTCTCGCCCGGCGTGGCTGGCCAATGTGCCGGCCCGCGGCTCTGCTCAGCCGGGCTGGAGAGGAGGAGGCCGCCCGCCTAGAATTCAGCCAGAAAGCCAGCAACATCCTCCAGAGTGTGCTTGCAGCTTTGATTACCCTCCGGAGAGTGATAATTCCCAGTAGTTATCTGGTTGGCAGGTTTCCGCCTTTGGAAGCCTCAGCATCTCTAGACCTGACTCTGCTGAAGAACTGGATTTTTTTTTTTTTCCTCATTTGGTTATTTGAATTTCCCACTACCTTCTCCTCCTACCCTCCAGTAACGTTAACAATTGTGACACTTCCTTCCCAACCCAGATGAGGAGGTTATCGGGGGGGTGGGGGAAAGAAGCCCCTCGGGGTTAGCACCGTTCACCGCCTCTCCCTACCGCCCCTGGAGAGTTTGCCGGGGGGAACACCCGACTCCTGGCTCTCCCCCGGCTGGCAAAGGTGGGGGGGGCCTGGGAGCTGCATGCCGGCTGCGGGAGGAGCGCACCCAGGGCTGCGGGCTGCCTGCTCTAACGGAGCTTGCTTGCGGCGCTCCCCAAGTTTTTGGACAGGAGCGCAGGTGGCTTCCTTCCCCTTAAAAAAGGGAAAACCAAAGTCATAAGGCCTGCTGAGAAGTCCCGTATTAGGTGAGCAAAGCTCTGGCGTAGCCTCAGTGCCCCGTAGCCCCGCAGCCCCCGAGGGCCGATGCCTAAGCATAACCAGCACCTGGGGGAGAGGGGTGATCGAGTCTCCCTCCCCCGCAGGCCACAGCGAGGTGGCCATTTCTCCTACAGGAAGTTTCAGATAGAGTGGAGTGTGCGAGCGGTCACTGCGTTACCGCACTGAGCCCTTGGAGGCTGCCGGGGTGGGGTGCGGTGCGGAGGCCAGGCCAGGCGGGACTCCCGCACACCGCCGCCAGGAGCCCCCGCGCCGGTTTTAGGAAGGAGCGGGGGCTTCATAATCCCGAGGTTTCGCTTGTCACGTGAACCGTGCCAGGAATGATCGTTTACGTCACCCTAGCAGGGAAATAATTTGTAGTTTTTCTGTCATATTTTCATTGAGATCCACCCCGGCAGATGTATACCAACAAATACCAGAGTGCAGGAAGAATAATAAAGAAGCTTAAGCTAAACGATTTGCCTTAATTGGGAATGCTTCGAGCTGATAAGAGTAAATTGGAAAGTACTACTTTCCTACCTTTTTTTTTTTTTTTTTTTTTTTTTTTTTTTTTTTTTTTTTTAATGATGACAGTATCCGAACCTGATAAACCAAGTCAATAAGAAAATTTCCATTGAATCGGATGGGAACTACCAGGAGCAATACTTCTTTCAGCACAATAACCTAGCTCCAAGATACATTTTCGTGCTACTTAAAAGGCTGCCAGAAAACATTGTTTTATACATGTTTGCATAATCCTCCATCCTCCACAGTAAAAAATTGTCTCACTGTCTTGTTTCTGTTATTATTTACTTAGCATTAACAGAAGAATGGCAGAAATCTGTGAAGAAAGAACACTGAAAAGTTGATATAATCTCGAGTTCAGCAAACTCCGAAATTCGCAGTTGCCAGAACACACTAAAAGCAAACGGCAGCTTTACGGAGATTTGGCTTTGTCACAGAGATGTAGTTATGAAACGTGCTCATTGGTATGCATGCCTCATTTTTTATTCTTTTTCTGTTTTATTCTGAAAAAGAACTTTTATTTTTAACTAGGAAAAAAAAGAAAAAAAAAAAAGGAGAAAAGAAGAAAGACAAGAAAGGGAAGGAGAAAATTAGTGGAGTGCATGTGCTCAAACTGGCTCGTTCGTATGGTTGTTACCGTTCCCGGCTCCTGTCATCCCTTTTCGCTGCTTTGGTTGAGGTTTCGACGCGCTCGCTCCGAAACTGGAGCGGTCTCGAAGCCGCCGCCGGCAGCAGCGACCTGCCGGACCTGGGCCAGGGGCGCGGTGTGGGATGAAGCTGCCCCCCCTGCCCCCGGCAGCCCCTCACCAGTCTTCGTCGCGGGGCTTGTTCGATCTCTTGGTAACTTTCATGATATGACTGTGTTTTCCCCCAACCATCCCCAACCTTTTTTTTTTTTTCCTTTCTTTCTTTTTTTTTTTTTTTTTTTCCATGGGCGCCGATCAATTATTCACAAGCACATTTATCTCCCCTGCAATATGGAGAATTCATATTCATATCTCTGTTTTAGTGGCCTGACACTGATTAATGTAATATGCGCCGCGGCTCCGAGCGCAGCCCCGCTCTATGAATCATGCACTATAAAGTTTCAATCGTCCTTGTAGATGAGACTATTACAAAGAGCGCGGCGCGGCGGGGGCGGGGAGGCGGGGGCTGGCGGCAGCGATGGCTCTGCGCCTCGGCCGGCCACCGGCCCCCTCTTAAACAGCCTCGTATTGAAACTACCCGGCGGCTGTCGGGGGACAATGCGGGTCCGGCATTAGTTCCGCCCGGCGGGGCTCCCGCTGACGCGGATCCCCCGCTCCGCCCGCCCGCGCCCACCGCCACCCGGGCTCGGCGAAGGGACTGCGGGGCTTTCGTCCCGTCCCCATCGTCCAGGCAGGGGCGGGAAGAGCCGCACTGGGCCGCTTGGCTTCAGAGAAGAGGCAGGTTGCCCGGTGGCCACCCTGAGGGATGGGTACCCTGGGGCGGGAATGGCGCTCAGGCTGCCCCGGGGTGTGCCCTGAGGCTGAGCACCCGCGCTGTGGCTGGGGAGGGAAGGCATTAAA